AATATTGTTACAAAAAAAATCAATGCATTGGTTGGTGTAGGAGAAGCATGATCATTAATCTCTCAGAGCTGACTCACTGTGACCTGGCTTGAACCAGTGAAGGAGGGCTGACGGATGCTGACGTCAAAACCTGCAGTCAAGGTAAGAAAATGTAAAATCATGGAATAACTTTTGCCACCAGCTTTGAAAGTTCTCCTTCCAGTCACCACCATCCTTGTGTATCTCATGGTTCAGTCAATTCACTCTACAACAAAAGCACCAACAAAAAAACAAAAAACTGTGGCTTTGTTCAAAATTTCTAGCATTCATCACACAACATGAAAACAAATCCACATCTACAAGTCTTTCTCCAAACATGAAAGTGTTCCCATGATAATCAGCCATGCTATTATAATCCCAAGTTGTGTTTAAGTCAGTGTGTGGCTAATTGTTATTATTTTTAATTGTGTTTGTGTGTTTTTGTAACTTGATTATACCTTTGTTTAATCATTTGACTGTCATCACTTTGACGTTTGTTGTCATTGCACAATTATACTTTGTACAATGGCACACAGACATTCTGGTCCTGTCCCACATTGGTGCTAAAAGAAAGACAAGCAAATCACAACACTACTATATACAATATAAAATGTAAAATATGTCCAATAGACATAGTATGCATAGTCGAGAGACACATTTGTGTCTTTGGTTTTCTTTTTTTTTTTTGTTTAGAAAGGTTTGAGTCTGCCAGGCACTCCCACAGGCATCCCAGCTGTCAAAGGGTGAGAGGCTGGGTACACCTTGAACAGGTTGACGGTCTATCACAGGGCTAATTAACTTCTACTTCTTCTTTTGGCTGTTTCCTTTAGAGATCGCCACAGTGGATCATCTGCCTCCATCTCAGCCTTTCCTTACCACCCCCCTCTGTCACACCAGCCCTCTGCATGTCCTCCTTCATTACATCCTTTAGTCTTCACTGTGCTCTTCCTCTTTTCCTCTTGCTTGGCAGCTCCATATTTGACATCCTTTGTCAAATAAAGTATATTCACACTACCCTCCTCTGTAATATATCTACTTAACCTTGCCCCTCAAACTTTGACTTCAAACTGCTAAACCTGAGCTGTCCACTCAGTTTTAATCCTGTCCATCCCGGTCACTCCCAGTGAAACTCTTATCCTTTTCAGCTTTGCCCCCTGCAGCTCAGTCGCCTGTCAGTGACACTGTCTCCAAAAAAATTACTTCAGCAGGTCTCACTACCATCTTGAAAACCTTCTCTTACGCTCTTGCTGGTATCCTTCTGTCATAAATCACCGCTGACACTCATCATCCCAAATATTCTCGGCAGATGGCCGCCCCTCCCTGAGCCTGGTTCTGCCGGATTCTTCCTGTTAAAAGGGAGTTTTTCCTTCCCACTGTCACCAAAGTGCTTGCTCATAGGGGTCATATGATTGTTGTGTTATTCTCTGTATGTATTATTGTAGGGTCTACCTCACCATTTACTCTAGTTTAATTAGTTTAAATACAATATAAAGTGCCTTGAGGCCATTGTTGTTGTGATTTGGTGCTGTATAAATAAAATCGAATCTCCACCCACTCCATCCTGCACTTCATCTTTTTCTTTGGATGTGTGACTCCATGTGTTTGCATCTGCGACAGATTTATTCTGTCTCATTTCTACTGATATTCATTCCTCCACTCTTCAGAGCACACCTCCACCTCTCCAGGCTTTCTTCAACCTGCTTTTTACTCTACAGATCATAAAATCATCTGCAAACATCATCGTCCACTCCAGCCTGCCCTCAACTATCAAACTGTCCATCACCATCGTAAACAGGAAGGGGCTCTGAGTCAATCCGTAATGTAATCCTCACCTTCACCTTGAAGCCTGTCATCTGTCATTCCTACAGCACACCTCACCACTGTCCTCAGACATATCCTGCACCACCCTCAAATCCTTCTCTGTAACTTCAAAAATGCTAAAAAAAAAAAAAAAAAAAGTGATAATAAAACAATAACTCTACTTGGAACTATAAACATCTTTGCATGGTCCAACAGCAATCCATTTGATAAATGTTGAGATATTTTGATCTAAACCAAAGTGGTGAATCAACCAACATTCCCACCCATGGAGCGAATGTCTTTAATCATCCTGGCTCTGAGGCTTTTTATGTTAAATTTGTGCGATTGTTGGACCAGTTTCAGCCACGGATTAATACACATTTGGTGTTCTAGTGGGTATTTCCGGCAGCATTGCTCATTGATGCCTTTTTAATAGCTTTTGGAATGCCACAGAAGAATTAGATCTCTCAGAATTGGGATGCACAAAGAGTATTTGTCTTTAGGAAAATCAATTCTTTGTTGGTTTTGTTTCATATTTACCAGTGACGATATAAATGATCATTCATTCTTTAACTAAAAGCAGCAGATAAAGCATCCCTGCTTATACCCTGCCATTTACATATTTAAAAACAGTTCGTTCCAGATATTAACAAAATCATCTATTGCTGTATTTCCAGGTTTAGGACATACAGACACACATTTGATCCCACTGACTTTAATCTCTACGTTATTTTCTCTTAAAATTTACCTAACATGTTAAAAGCTATACTGCAGCTTTTGGAAAGATTTAATCCTGAAGAAAACACATGGAAAAGACTTTTTTCCCTTTCCCACCCACAGCACAGAACACAGTGCTAAATCCACTGGATGCATTTCCTGTGAGTTACACACACACAGATATATTTACACACAATGCATTGGCTTCTTCTGCTAAACAAAATGATGTGGGAGGCAAGATATGTGGCCAAGTCAGTCCTCCCTGCATCTGCTGCTGCAGGAGGAAACACAGAGGTACATAAATGTGTGATTTCATGTGGTCTTTTATGTCCGAGGATTATGGAAAACATCTATTTGCATCTCTGTGGGTTTTTTCCCTCCCTCAGGACTGCAGGGACCTCAAGTACAGAACAAAAGACAAATATCATGAGATCAGTGTCACCATCCCACGTCTGAACAATCACCAGTGACTCTCCAACTGCTCGGCCTCATGTTCCTGTACTCCACGCATACGCAGCACGGATGGAGGAGGACGCTGTTGTTGATTGCAGCCTTTTGACTGAATCAGCATAAACACACTGATGAGGGGAATCCTTCACGCTGCTTTACGTAAGTGGTCTTGTTAGAGATGTTTTCACACATCCTCTCTGTACAGCAACAAGAACCTCCACAAACAGCCTCTGACACATTTGCACTAATTCAGTCAGAAGCGATCAGACATGTTTTTCTTTTCTTTCCTTTTGCATTTGTAGAAATTTTCAGAGTTTCTGCACTTTTAACCTCAAACCACCAAGATTTCATACAGGAATTCTTTCTCACTGACTCTGTTTGTGCTAACTGCAACTTTACTGTTTCCTTCATCTACGGCAGGTATGAAACAATGTTTTTCTGTTCAGTAGTTATAGTTTTAATGCAAAAACTAGTTAATCTAATTTGTCACATTGGGCATTAAGTGTCTGCCACATTTAATTCTTCTAGTCTTGCTCCGTTTTTCATAGTTGTCTCCTTAATCTGGCCATTGCAAATTTACAGTCTGCCGCTGAAACCAACAATAAGCTTCTTTTAAACTCTGATAAAATTAAGGTCACCGCGTCACGTAAATTATTCAGCCTACAGTTCATATTCAAACGTTTTGATGTTATAAAACTGAAACTATTAACTGTTAGAAATATGTTTAGGATTCTGGTTGGATAGCAGACTCACAAAAAAAGGAACCAATCAGGTTTCCTTTCTGCTATGACGAAGATCGTTGTGAGATGAAGAGTGGACTTGATTTAAAACAAAGACACATAATGATTTTTAGCAGAGGTTTCTATATTAGACAATAACCTATAACAATTATACACTACCAGTCACAATTCTGGACACACCTCATTTAATGGTTTTTCTTTATTTTAATGACTATTTACATTGTACATTCTCACAGAAGACACCAAAACTATAAATGAGCACATGTGGAATTGTGTAGTAAACAAAAATGTGGGAAATAACTCAAAATATGTTTTATATTTTTGATTCTGTAATTACTGCTTTGCACACTTTTGGCATTCTTTCAATAAGCTTCATGAGGTAATCACCTGAAATGGTTTTCCAACAGTCTTGGAGGAGTTCCCAGAGCTGCTGAGCACGTGTTGGCCCTTTTGCCTCTGTGGTCCATCTCATCCCAAACCATCTCGACTGGGTTTAGGTCAGGTGACCGTGGAGCCTAGGACATCTGACACAGCACTCCATCACTCCCCTTCTTGGTCAAACAGCCCTTACACAGCCTGGAGGTGTGTTTGGGGTCATTGTCCTGTTGAAAAATAAATGAGGGTCCACTAAACACAAACCAGATGGAATGGCATGTCACTGCAGGATGCTGTGGTAGCACACCACCTCCTCCATGCTTCACGGTGGGAACCTGTAGAGCAAGGCCAAGGGTTTGCAGCGCTGTCAAAGCCAAGAGTGACTACTTTGAGAAATCTAAAATGTAAGAGTTGGGGGAGGTAATCAATTTTTTCTTAATTAATTCGTAATTCTTCATAATTCCAAATATCTTGCTTCATGTAATTGATATATCTACAATCTAGAAAGTAGTAAAAACAAAGAAAAACCATCAAAAGAGAAGGCGTGTCCAAACTTTTGACTGGTAGTGAATATTATAATAGTAATAATATCTTCAACAGTCAGTGCCTCTTGTCAGTTTCTGTAAAAGGTCAATACTTTTGGTCAGAATTGTGGATTCTGAATGTTATCAAAAAGCATCATGACCTGGGAATATTACCAGAACAACCCGAGTGTTGGTGTTGAGATGAGCTTTGAGATGATGTCATTTGTTTAATATGTGAACTTTGCCACCAAACATATTCACTGACAATGAAGCAACATGAGGAAAAAATACAGTTACATTACTAATGTCCTTCTACAAGCAGGACCACCACTCGGCAGTGATCTTAACACGTCTGGAAAATTGAAGCATTTTCTAAAATAGTTTACATTTTATTGTTGAATACGATTTAAAAACTACATGTATGGGTTCAGCAGTCAAATCCAGTCAAATCAAAGATAAGAAACATGAAAACAGTTTAATGACTTTGCCACAAAATACAGATTTAAAACACTCCCTCTGATTTTAATTCAGGATTCTCTGCATAATGTCGGTCTCTTGAGATATCCATACTTCACCAATGCGCAAGTAATTTGCAAAAATCCGACAGCAAAACAAATGTGTTTCAGCACCTGAGACTAAAGCAGGGATGGGAACAATATTGAGATCCTCATCCCAATTTCAAAGCAAATTAGTCTGTGAGTGAAAAGCATGCTGGGTTAATCCTGCTTGTCCCACGACGCTGCTGCAAAAAGGAGATTCTTAATCTCAAGAGTTTCACTTCCTGATTAAAAAAGTTAAACCAAAAAGCATCAAAAATGAGCTTCCTCTGTTTTCACAGCCACCAGTAAACACGAGCATTAGTACAACTATGGTTTAAAATTCTCGTCATGGCATGTGTGAATATGGGTTTTCTTCTTTGTTTCTTTTTTATTTTATGCATATTTCTGTAAATATGGTGCAAAATGTCCAATTTTTGGCATTTTGCATCATAGGCTCACCTCTGGTAACATTTTCATGCCGTTTGTTGACTTTTTTGAGTAACTCCTGGTAACAAACAGACAAACCAATCACGTAGCCTCCTCAGCAGAAGTACAAACACCCCCTTTCTTTATCATACAATTATTACAATATATAAACATTGTTATAGCTTCTCTAGGGAACTTTTTTTTGTTTGTTTGTTTCAAACACATTCCCTATTTATTGTGGAAAGGTGTATAATGAACATTTGTCACATTTCCCAAATTTAGTATTAAATAAACTATTAAAATTGGTCCTTGGAGCTAAAACTCATAAATACATTCTGTCCTCTAATTGTGAAAATGTGATTATATTTCTGCAAACTTTGTTCTTCTACGACTGATGGGCAAGAACTAGAAGTGGAATAACTACTGTGAGGAATCTGACACTTTCGATACCAAAGTCGCACACACTCTCCAGCCTTGGCCAAACAAAACTCCAGTTTATCGATTGCAGAGGCTGTTCGGTCAGTATCTCTGACAACGTTTAAAAATCTCCACTGAAGTCAGTCAAAACTGATCAGCTTCTTTGCTCTTCGGTCTTAAAATCTGGAGCCAAAGTCCAAATCTTCCTCAACTTCTTCAAAATCTTCTTCATCAGCCGCCACACCTGAAACACACACAAACATGTTGAAGTCACCTCATATACCAGTAAGAGTGACGTCAGACTCAACTTATTTGTGCTGAAACTTCAGTGTGGTTTTTAATGTGCTCAGGTCAATGATTTTAGTCCGTGTGAGGATTTTGTTTTGTTTTCCAACTATTTAAAATGTGTATATAACCACGTTAACTACATACCGCAGCAGAAGCTGATGTTTCTCAGTGTGTCGGCGAGGTCATCGATATCGATGATGAAATGGCTCATGCTCTCATAACCGAGCTCTGGAAGCTCCAACTTCGAGGCTCTCGCCATCGCCGCCATTCTGTAAACAAACGCAGAGACTTCATGTTAAAAGCTGTACTGCTTTTAACTTCATTAAAGCTGTACTGTACCGAACATTTCAGCTGCAAAAGTTTGTTCCCCTTTAAAAAGAAATACAAAAACCTGAACTCTCATGTAAAGAGATGCATTGCATAAGACTAAACTGCTACGTCTGCAATAAAAGTGAAGCATTGTACTTTGTGTTAATTTATTTTCAAAAGCCAAACCCAATAAAACATTTAAAATGTCACCTTACTGTAAGCCTGAGTTTTAACATGGAAAATTGCAGAAAGCAAGAAAGTGAATTTATGAGTTTATTGCAGATAAAAAGTAGCTGCACATTTTTAAGAAATTGATCATAACGGTCATAAATTAAATGAATTATTCTTACTTGAAGTGTAAATTCCACACGAGTAAAACGACAACAAAACGGTAAAGAACATAAAAGGCTTCTGCATTTAGCACAAAATAAAATTTCATTTTGAAGCATTTTAAACTCAAATCAAACTCGAGCAATACATACTTCTTCATGAAAATCAGAATCAGAACACTTAACAATCCCTCAGACTTGCTGCTTGTAATAACAGAGTCTATCAGCGCTGGCAAACTATAGATATTCTCACCTTTTATATCCAGGTCAATATTAAAAATAAGACATGCTCAGTCGTGTTAAACTCATTTTTCTTTAGTTGCTTCTAATCTGCAGCCAGATCAATAAAACCAGCGCTAAGTATTTAATCAGGCAGACTTCCATCTCAGAGACTGATGGAGATTTCAAGTAAAAGGCCAAATGTGACTCGATCTATCAGCAAAGCAAACGCACGCTGACCTCCAGGTATCCCCGCGTGGCTGCTCGCTGACTGCAGCATTGTTTGGTGTTTTGATCTCGTGGCCCCAGCAGGGTCTTCTGCTCCACAAGTAATTAGTATGAAAGGGCCAAACATCTGACAGAGAGGGAACGACTGTTGGGGAAGGTTAAGACAGTACAAAATCTACATTGTATATATAAATCAATTAATTTTGTATCAATCACTATAAATTGATTTTTGAAGTGAGCTGTCTCTGTGTTCTGCTCATTTTTGCTCTTTTTATTGGTCGTTCTTGTTGTGCTTTGCAAAAGCAAACGCTTTTTCCAGGGGAGATGTCTTTGAGAAGCACGTGTACGCAAACATTTCAGCTACAAAAGTTTGTTTTCCTTTTTAAAAAAAAGGAGCATGTTCACCTCAAGCATGTGTGACAGACATGAAGCAGTGTGGAGAACTTTATGCCGCCTATAACATCGTTCAGCCTGGTGGTGGTTCAGTGATGTTTTGGGGAAGAATATCCATGGAGGGATGCACAGACCTCTACAGGCTAAGCAACGGCACTTGGGTATCGGGATGAAATCCTTGGACCCATTGTCAGACCCTACACTAGTGCAGTGGCAGAAGCATACAGTTGGTTCCTGGAGGATGATGGAAGTGACACTGTGCCCCATGTTGACCTAAACCCAATAGAACACATCTGGGACATGCATCAGTCCATCCAGTGGTGCCAGGATGCACCACAGACTGTCCAGGACCTCAACGATGCCCTGGTGCAGATCTAGGAGGAGATCCTCCAGGACACCATCCGTGGTCTCAGTAGGTGCATGCCTTGACGCTGCTATGGAGGTATACAGGCATATGGGGGCTTACAAACTACCACCTTGAGTTTCTGCAATGGAATTTCGGCAACACTGACTTTTTTCACTTTGATTTTCAAGATGTCTTTGGATTCAGCCCTCTGTAGATAGATGAATTTTTACTCCTATCAAACAACGCGGCATCCTTTCATTCCTAACACATTACTCGGTCCATATCAGCGTGGATTGTTGAGCGATTTAATGTTGGAGGTCATATCAGTGAAATGATTGAACACCTTAAGGTTGGAAAGCTTTCCCAAACCTATGGAAATGTATTTGTGAGACACTTTTTACAGGACTCCATCTAGACTGAAGATGGCTGGGTTAAAAATTAAGGTTAGATCAACTTCTCAGAGTAAAAAGTAAAATATTTGACATGCAGGATGGAAAGGTCACATTCACAATCAGAGCTTCATCCACGAGCACTTACTTTTCCAGTATGGCTTCAGCGCTCTGGTATTGGAGAAAAGTAGAAAAGAGGAAAGAGAAAGTTAATTACATTGTGCTTCAGTCATCTCTGCCAACAACATCTGTCACAAGTATTTGTCATAGATGTCACCGTGCTAAATGAAAACATGGATTTTTTAACACTGACAGCTGCCAGAATGGCCTGATGGTGTTTACTACCTGCTTCCACTTGCTCTATCTTCTTTAACACCTGTTCTGGCATAAAACAGCGACACCTGAGGCTCAGACTTTCTCTCTCCTACAAACGCACCGGCAGACAAACACATTTTCCTCCGTGGAGACGCAGTGACGCAGACATCAGCAGTAAAGATGCCGAATTTAGTAACAACCTAAAATCGGGTCAGGGACACGTGGGTCATCCAACTGTCGGCTCTCAGGTTTTATGAACTTATTTCAGGTTTTCATCAGTCCTCAAAGTGTGCCATAAAACCTTTTCTCTATAGAAGAGCCTGAATATCTGTAGTGATAATAATACTTGGAGCTTATGAAAACACATTTATGTCAGTCCATCTACATTTTACAACATCGTATTTAATCATGTGTGCTCTGTCCAAAGTGAAAGGCGTGAATATGATCTTTATTACTGACTTTTTTCAGGTGGTAAAAACTGATTCAGGCAGCCGACTGAGAAAGTTGTAGCTGGATTAATTCTGAAACAATCTGCATAAATCTAGATTAGTGGAACTGATGTGTTGTAATGGTAAAATATTCACAAACAGGCAAAGTAGCCTGTTCTTTTAGTCCAGCTGAAAACACCATCGTTGAAATTTTAGGGCTTCTGTTTGGTTTGAAATACTCATTTGACCACTGCCCCTTGGCTGGGTTCTTGAAAAATGCCAACCTGTTGTGCTTTTACCCGTTCTGCCAGAATTATTCATCATGGATGGGATGTTTCTGTCGTCTATCTGGATCTAGATAAGGGACAGACCTCCCTCTCTCTGGCTATGTCCATCAGCTCTTCTGGGAGGGAAACCATAGTATTCCCAAGCAAGCTGAGACAATCTCTCCAGTGTGTTATGGGTCTGCCCCAGGGTCTTCCTCCAGGACTTGCTCAAAACACCTTATTTAGGAGGCATCAACGAGGCGTACTATCAGATTTTTAAACCACATCATCAGGTTATTTCTGATGTAACGAGTAGCATCTCCAGCCTGAGCTACTTACGCTATATTTAAGAGGTACGAACCTCCCACTGAGTTCTCACCTAAAGATGAGGTCAACTGACTACATGAATACACTGAATGAACCAGGATTTCCATGATTGGATTATCTCTTCCCTGATGGCATGGCTGTATTTCAAGATGATTCCAGAATTCATTTGGCTCAGATTTTAAAAGGATGATTCGGGGTGCATGAGGCATCATTCTCACATATGGACCATTAAGAATCTTTGGCACATGTTGGAGAAGACTTTACGCATCATCAGTACAAGATGTTGGTTAAAAATTAACACCAAAATGACGGAAAATGAAAAACGCTGTAACCATGCCTTAATATATCGAAACAATACCTTGGTGACTGCGAGCTGTCATCAAAGCTAAAGTTGATCCAAAAAATGCTAAAGTGTGACTTTTTGGTTGGCCGGGCAGGGACACAGTGCATCAGGAAGCACATCCAATGTTAACATCTGCAAAACCCAAATATGGAGCTAGCTTAAAGTGTATATTATTTATTGTGTACGTATACTGTTATAATAATGAATGATCATATTGAACATACTAAAGTTTCAAATAACGAGGTAACTGTATGTAAGCGTTGGCTTCAGACTACTCTAAAAACCCACTTTCAGACAGTTTTATTTGTACTCCTGGCTCTGTATGATGTCACTGAGAGAGGATACTCGTAATGTGGTCACACAGTTACCCCACTCACCCGCTGTTCAAACCGTCAGTTTATGAGGGACAGCCAATCTGAAGAAAGTTGGCTTGAACCGAGAGAAGTGGCTGCTCTACATATAGTTAAGGGTATGTTACCCTTACAGTACCTGTTAGACGTCTAGACATATTTCTGATTATTTCATAAGCAAAGATGTGTTTAATCCTTGAGTTACTAACATAAAATCCACTAAAAGAATAGTTTGTGGTGGACCACTAGAGGGCTCCACTCACACCCAGTGTATAGGAAGTGTGTTCCTGTGTTTTTGCTTCTTTTTTTTGGTTATAAGAAAAACTGATTGAAAAGAATGTTCCATCACCAGTATTTTCATTTCATTTCTATTGTTGAAAACCCAAAATTGAAAAAGTTGACAAATTTCAGTTGTACCTGTTTATTCTGACCATGAAAAGAAGACTGCATTGAACACTGTGGGTAAAATGGCTCCTTCCATACAGAAGGTAATACTTATTTAACAGGTAAGACCCAGTCTGCAAAAAGTGCATCAATTGAAATATCCTCAGATCATGTTTTAGAACGAGGACGAACTGAGTGTTTGCATGCAATGCCAGTATAAATAAAAAAGTCACACTTTTTTATCTAAAGTGTGACTCATGTATAGCTCTAGGTCATTGTTGATGTTCTTCAGCTGTTGTTGTTAAATTTGGTCCACTTACACAAGGGCACGTCACGAAGGATGACAAGTTCAAAGATGCTTCGTGAGTAATTTTGAGATTCCTCAACATGAGTTAAACTCGTCTCCTGCGGTGACTCCATGGTGTTTATTTTCATTATCACCATCACACCGTGCTGCTGCTCCGTCAGCCCGGTTCTTATTAATTTGAGCTACAGCTGAAGTAGTAATTTTTAAGAACACCTACAGATACACAGTGATTAAAACAGCAGGAAAACAAATCAGTTATATTAATTTATTCTTGCTGAGCATCCCCGTGCTCAGGCCGAGCTAGTTATTGTGTGTTTTCTACATAATTAAGTGTGTTTTAAAAGTCCATACATTGAATATGGAATACATCAAAATGTATGAGCGTGTGATTGATTGGTGGATCAATGCAGTGTACTTGAGGGGCTGACCTGCTTCTCATTATCTCTACACGAGTGTGAATTAATCACCGGAGCGTCAGACATGATGTTTGCCTTTAAGCTATTCAGGACCGGAGGAGACTCATGTGTCCTTGGGGGTGTTGTTGAAGCACAGCGCCCGATGGAGAGGCATCCCGCTGGGCTCGCTCCTCCACTTTCCCTCCTCGCCCTGCGGCTGTATACATAAAGCTCTTGATCATCAGTGAGCATGGATTATCCTGTCTAATGAGAGCTGAGCCTGGGAAAATATCGATGAGTAGAGGGAAAGCGGAGGAGCACGTGAAGAGTGCGGTGAGACTGTTAAATAAATAACAAAATAAACTGTTGATTTAAACATCCGTCTGTGGTGCTGTTGTGTCATCGGTTGCTTTAACATAATTAAAAGAGGGCCAGGTGTCATCGAGCAGCGAGTTATTTAAGGAAGCCTGGAGGCTGATGTGGAAAAATGAATTAAGCTGTCAGCTAAAAACAGGAATTAGAATTTAAATATAAAAATAAAACGTTTATATTCAGTCTTTCTTGATGGTAAATAACACGCTGACCATCTTTCAGGCATACTTTAGCACATTATGCAGTGAGTTTTTGAGTTTTTTTTCCCATTTCCGGTAATTATGTGTTCTTGTATTTACTGTAATTATGTGAACAAATCCGAGAAACGTATTTAAAGAAAAGGCATTAAAAGGGCAGCCGAGTGGTTGGAAAACAAATGACCAGTAATTACCTGTTGGCTAAATTTAAAGGCTTTAATGATGGGCTAAAAGTAATAAAGGGTTTGCTGGTGCTAATCAATAAAATAGATGTTTGAAATAGATCTCTGAAGTAGCAGATAACATGTTGACTTAGCTATAAATATTGGATGAATCGTCAATATAAATAGATTAGGATGGAAAAGCTCAAAGTAATTAACGAACACTTCAGGTAGTTAGACACAGACATCTGAAAGTGATAAACAGCAAAGAGTAATGATAGTGGGGTTGCTGGTAATGGAACAGCTAAAAAATAATGGTTTAAAAAGAAGCTAAATGTAGTACAGGTTTGACTCTAAATGGGACAAAAAAAATTGCAGTAATGATTTTAGTACATTAAAATTGGAGTGTATAAATTTATAGTAAAAATTTAGTAAATTGTAAAAATTTTCATCATGAACTAGATACCAGCATAGCGTGCAAACTGGACCAGCAGCCAACCTTCATGGAGAGGCATTCGACTCAATCCACTTTGCTATTCTCAAAAAAGTAATTAAATAAATGCAATACATATTTACAAGCATATATGTATAGCGCGCTAGTATAATCATAGAGAAATGTATCCAAAACCAAAGGCAATGGAGGCAAGTGAACTCACCACACACTAGAACAACACATTTCTAATTGTTTTGCAAATTTTCAAGGAGCATAAAGCTTTAAAACTAGTCTGACAAGCCGATAAATGACCTTTTATTTAATTTCAAAGAGACACTTTGCACACAAATCTGACCAGCACAAGCCCGTCCACTCAGTGTCCTCCTCCCTCATGTTGGTTACCACGATCGCTACAGAAGCACTCAACTTTTGCAAACCCAATATTGGTGTTTTAAGTTTTCCATTACCAAACTGTTTTAATGCACGTTATAATTGAAGTGAAGAAGTACAGCGACTTATAGAGTGGGCCTGGACCCCGGAGGTCTGTCCACTGCTGGTCCCTTTTCCAGCAGAAATCTTTGGCCCACCTAATAATATTCAATAAAAGAAAATACAATAACGAATCAATGAATCAATCTCTTGCTGGAAGACTTAGAAGTGTAAAAATTGGAGGCAGAAATTTCTGGACTCTCGTTTGTATTTTGCACCAGGAAGTGTGACGTTACAAGGCCCTTAGAATGGATTGCATAATGAGGCTTATTGTGTGAGCTGTTCATTTCATCTGAGCCAGAGGTTTGAATCATGGTTAGGTTTACAGTCCTCCTACTGAAAAGAGGAACAATAACCACGTCCTGTGGAAAGATACAGAAGCAATGGGAAAGACGAGGAGCCGTGCTGATGCCTTACTTTGATTTACAACAGAAATATTTCTTTGTAAAGATGCAGAAATTAGATTTTAGGATGTTCACCTTATGTTTCAAAGATGTACATATCTTTAAATGTGAATGTTTAGACACACACCTCACATTTGCAAAATTAGGAGGTGTACTGTGAGAAACACTGTAGAGTCATATTTGATCAAGTCTGGAAACACAAGGAATCTTTTTGTGAAACTGCAGTTTTTTCCCACCTGTATAAACAGAGGCATGTGTGGCTCCTCCATGGACTGTATGCCCGACTCCACCAGCGTGACGCCGACCTCCAGGTGATCGCTGTGCTGACGGATGAGCGACTGAACATGTTTGAGCTTTTCATCCTGTTCTTTGGTGATGAGACCCACCAGCTCCTGCTTCCGCTCCTCCAAGATGGCCACCAAACGTTCAAAGTGGCCGCTCAGGTGTTCTCTCTGCCGCTGGCCGTTTTCCTAAAGAATGATGGCGTGACAGTGTTAGTCATTTTCTAACTAACATGTCAGATATCTAATATTATTCATCAGTCCCACTTAAACTTCACCATCATTGTTTCCAGTACTAATTATTAAACATGGATGAAGCCACCACGACATCACCCAAACCAGTGTGTCTTTCCTTTAAGATGCAAAAACTAAATCACAGAAACCACAACACAGCTAGTCTGTGTGCTCTTACACCTAGCCTCAGTCACAGCAACTTTTTTGTAACTGAGAAATCAATTTCAGTTTATTGCTGAAATTAATGTTATCACACCACATTTTGCATTAGCTAAGTTTGATCCAGGATAGACTGATTTCATCTACTGATTACTGTTTGTCTCTTTAAGGAAATAATTATCCTTAACAAAATTAAATTATGTTTTTTAAGGCAGTACAGACTAACAATGAGGGTGATGTGGTGATGATCTCTCTTCAGTAACTGATTCAAGTTGTTTTATGTTAATTTCATTCATATAACTTTCATTGTCTTGTAACTTGTATTTTTTGCGTATTTCTAATAAATTAGTTTTTCCTCATAAATGTATAATTTCTTTCTTACATTTAACAGTTTTTCTTCTCACAAATTTATGAGTTTAATCCCAAAACGTTCAAGTTTTTATTCTCAGTATTTGACACTAACTCAGCCCTTTCATTGTGTTTTCTTCAGCGACCCTTATATACTCGTACAGCTAAAGCGGCTGGATTTAGACATGAAATTGCATCCTTTGCACCTCATGTGTTCATGTCTAACCTCTATGGTGTGGCAGATTGCTTCCATCTGAGAGATGACTGCCTGGACGTTGTCATTACTGGCCACCAAGATCGCAATGCCGTCACTCAGCTCCGTCTGCAAACATTCAGAGCATCACTGACATCAGTTAATACGGAAACTTAAAGTTAACATGGAAAAAAAATTACAAAAACAAACCTAATGTGTTTGAAATCGTCAGCTTTGATAACATCATATCCGTCAACAACGAAATAAGCTGTCAGGAAAATGTCTGCTATTTCTTACCAGTGAATAAACAAATAAATGTCATCCAGCCCAAGTCCAAGAAGAGCTATTCAAGACATATTCAAATTTCAAGACACTAGAACAATTATAAATTATTTTATTTCCTTTCAGTTAGACTATTGCAATCATCTTTTAACACCTACCAACTAAAAATGAATCAACAAGTGTTAAATTCATCATAATGCAGAAAAAGTGAGCCCATTACCCAGATTTTAATGACCCAACATGCGTTTCAGGAGGGATTTTTAAGCTTTATCTAATGTTTGCTCTTGAGGCTCCTCAGATATGGAGCGATCTACCAGAGCAGATCTTTAAAATGAATTTTTAAATGTTTCCCTACATATTTTCTAAATATTTGACATTATATTTTAGTACATCCTACCAAAGCTGCAATGATCTTACACAGTGGTGAGGCGTTTATTGCTACTAAACTTACAAACATTGGCAATCACCTCAAAGGTCTTCACCCAAACTCTGCTTAATGTCAAGGTCACATTTTTTCCATTCTCAGTGAATTTTAATTCTCACGATACAGCGAGTGACGAGAAAACATCATGTTCTTTCTGTACTTCACACTTTACAGTAACCTGTGAATTATGACGAGCCATGAGCCAGATGAGCTACTGCGTCACTGTTATTCTGGTATTCTTAACTGAGAGGCACTCTGTTGTATTCATGGTGACATTATAAGCTGATAAAATACTGTCGGAGCCCCAGTTATATTTTATAAAATAAAAATTTCAGCATTTTTTCCTGCCTCTATGATTATATGTTAAAGTAAAACACTTCAGTACCGCTATTTTTCTTAAATACAATGTTGTTGTTGTTTTTTTAAATGTTATTCATATTTAACAGTCTGTGTGTGATTTGTGTTTTGGAAAAATGCACTTTTGTTCAGATATGGTTGGTTTCAATCCTTTAATTCTGATCAGAGGTCCGTGATTACTTTGAGCTTTTCACTATTTTCCTTGTTTGTTTTTTATATTTAAACTACTTCTCTTTGGACTGCAAAGACGGTTTCAACTTTTGCTTTCGGACAGACACAAACTAGAAATAAATTCCACCTTCAAGAAAATCTGACAGTCGACTGCTAAGTGTCTTATCATTCTCGCAGATGCTGACTTTAACTCAAACCTCTCTCATAGTAATCTCAGGATTGCTCCGCAGGACGAGTACTTTCTCATTAGTAACCGCCGCCACCAGCAAGCACAACAACAACATGAGTCATCAACATGCATCTGTTTAGAATATCTTATGACATCATGCATATTTTTATAGCCACTTTACAGTTAGAGTGCGATTTGATGAGCTGCTCGTGTAACAAACACTCTCGCTTCTGTGCCGGCCAAATGAGATCACCAAACTTTTTTGTTTTTCAGATTGCACAAAAATGGGGAATCAACAACTTTCAGGAGCCTCATCTAAATTTCAGATGAGTGAATCAGATGCAGAGTGAGAGATGGAGAGGCCGGCACTGAAATGTCAACAAAGCCAACTGCTCGATAACATGCCGGACGCTGTTGCTGCCATCTGCATGACAAAACTGCTGCACTTTGTCTTTGTGTGACTTTGTGTGTTGAAAAACAGAAGTTGCACTTTTAATCTGTGCACAGAGCAATGCCACTGATGTTTAGATGGACAGATGATCATGTACATGTACTGAAGCCTTGATTTTAGTGGTTATATGTATCCTGTTCGTGTGCTCTGGGTATTCGATCAGTCAGCTCTTGGTCTCGTTTTAGCTGCATCATAAACACAAAGTCATGTATAATGTAAGGTCTTAAGTTTGATCAGAATAATCAAAATTGAGGTTAAAAAATGTCTTAAATTTTCACATCCTAACAGTTGCTGTGTTTCTCTTTTTAGTCATGAATTGGTTTCCACAGTGGGAGCTGGTGTGCATTTTGCCGAGGAGGAAGAGGAAAAATGTAAAAATAGAAATAAGATAAAAAATGCTGGAAGATAAAGGTCATCGTAAGAACACACCTACCTGTATTTTTCATGGTAGAAACTATTTTACCAACTCTGTGGTGATTTGACCTTTAAACAAGCTCAAGCTCTCGGAGCAGGGCTCTCTGCAAATAAGCTGAAAATAAACTTAAATGAAGGTAAAAGAAGTTGATGTGAGGGTGGAAATGTGAATTGACTGAGCTCATTTAAAGTATGAGATGGAAATAAGGGGTGAGAATCACAAATGAACCCTGGGAAAACAAAGATGGGGCATTTATATCAGCAAGCAGTGTTTTATTTTGAAAGCTGACTGGATTATCTGTGATCTTCACATGTTTAACTTCATATTTAGATGTGCTATGAGCGAGTTTAAAGTGGATCTATTCAAACTGTTTGAACAGTATTTTTCCTACTCTTTGCGCTATAATGTAATTTTTCATGATATTTATAATATACGAGCATCATCCACCTGTTGTTTAAACCTTCTGATTGCAAGGGTCGGCTAGTTAGAATAAAGACTGGTTAAAAGGAGAGGTAGGAGAGCGAAAACAACTTGGTTTAGTCAGGCGTGAAGTGGCGCGAAGTAGAAACTGTATGCTGTAACCGTCCTTCACCTTCTGTCTCATGTAGACGGTGCCGAGCGGAGCCACATCACAGTCTCTGTGCTGTCCGAACACTTTGCACATGGAGCAGGTCGGCGTCTGGCAGGACAAACAGTAGATGTTGATCTTCTCGTCTTCATGTTCTTCACACATGAGCTGCTGCTGCTCTGGCTTCATGCTAACAAGTCTGCAAGATACAAAAAAAATATCACGTTTAATGTAAAGATTGCTCCAGGGAAATTTGGATGTGGACATAAAAGCCTGGTAGGTTTATATAACAGGTTTCTGTCAATATCACACCCATTTGTAGTAAGTTTTAATATTTACCTTAACATATTAGCAGTGAAAAAAGTATATTTTAAGTCAATCTTTAACTTAAAGCAGCCTGTAATTAAAATGTCTTAAACTCCATTACAGTAAATCTAAATAAGGTTGTAAGAAATTAAATTTAACATCCCACCCCTGCAGATAGCCTGCAGCAGCCTACAGCTACAAAGGCAGTTGCACAGTAAATCACATAGAAAGTTCAGATGAAAACCAGTGTTTCACTTACAAAATAATCCAAAAGTAGCTCTTTTTTATAAGCTGTTAGCCATCATTTTAATACCCTTAAAATGTGACTAAAAGGAAACTTGGCTCATTTTTAATCTCATTCCCATGCATAGCATGCACAAGACTTGGCATCATTGTCTGTATTGTTGAAGCAGCTTAGTTTACTTCTGTTATCACTGACGTACTTTGACGTCAGTGGATGATGGAAGAACTGCATAAAGATTTTGCCAGAGGTGGCAGCTGTCCCTTTGCCACCTGCAAATCAGGAATGTCACTGCTCACTTACAGCTCAGCTGGTTTCCTTTATTATAGCTTTAATATATACAAGAATAGTGTATGCATTTAAAGGTCATTATCATTGCTGTCTCCTTTATTTTTGGGCGTGTGATTTGACATCATTCTCCTCCCAGATTGATCACTGCCAGACATTTCACTTAAAAAAAAGAAGCTGACTCGGACATGGATAACTCTGGTGCCACGTAGCTTCCGAGAAACAACAGCTAAATTTAATGAAACAAACTGTCCTTTGTACTCTGACGCAGGCATCTCTGACAGAAACGATGATTAAGTTATGATAATATTTTTCGCATGTGAAAAAATGATGAGAAAACCACAAGTTACAAAAGATTTGTTTACATCCGTGTGAACAATCACATCTATTTTAACCCACACGGATAAAGAGGGGACTCCTGTCCTACTGTCGCTCTTCTTTTTTATCACTGACTCACTCAGCTTCTATTCTGAGAGGCATATTTACACTGAGGACGATCTGTTGTGGTAAGTGTGGAGAGCAGATGTACTAAAGAGCCTTCTGCTTGAAACGCTTTACTTTTTATACGAAGTGGATGCATGTGGAAACAACTGTCATACTGTCATTTCTACAGTGATCGGGTATTGGTTATACTCAGGTGGAACAGTTACTGTGTCAGGTTCCACATGAGTCAAGCTGGGGAAATATTTGATAACTGATTCTGGTTGATACACTTATTAAAAACGACTCTACTTTTAGACCTTGTTCAGAATTTGTGTTTCTTCAGCCAAAATCTAAATATTAAACATCTTTCTGTTTACCTATTATTAAAAATCAAACGTGTTACCTGCAACAATCTGTAATAATCTGTAACTACAGCGAAAGCATCAGGCGTTTCTCGTTACTCTTCATATCTCCAACATCTTTCCTTGTGCACACAACACATCATTCTCCTGTGATCATCAACCTGTGCATCAAAATGTATTAATATAGCAATAAAGAAAATACAATAAAATATAAAACCAACACGTGTCTCAAGACACGTGTTGGCTAACATATTTTAGTCTGTACTTCAAAACTGAGTGACTTGTGCTTGATTTTGTCTTTAAATATGTCTCTGGAAATAAAGGAGACAAATAACCCAAAAATGAACGCTACAATGTTGTTGTTTATTTGATTATGATTATGTTGATTATGTAAGCACGCACGGCTTTGTCGTTACTGCTAAATATACTTTATATCAGCCACAATGAACAAGAACACAACATACAGTATATGCATACATCACTTCTGCTCTGCTGACAAACATGCAAACCCAGAAACCTGCTGTAATAAAATACGATGCTGCACTCTGCAGGCAGTCACTCATTACTACAGCTAAGTGCACACTCAATACACATGTTAGTGTTTTTAAATGATGAACGAAGAATTTCAAGATTTACAATCAGCATAATGTTTAATTTAATGATTCTTCTGATTACTTAGATTTGTATTAATCTCATTACATAATTATAATGTAATATAAAATAAATTAGTTGGATGAACTTGCCCTGATTAACTTTTGTGAGTTACCCGGATTGGATGTGGCAGTTAGTAGTGAATCAGGATTGGTTTGATGAGATAAATGTTTCTGAGGAAGGTGAGTCCCATAGTAACAACAAGAAATAAAAACAGGTTGTCTTGGGTGTCCAATGGTACAATTACTTGATTTTGGTTTAATACAACTAACAAATATTATTGGGAAAGTGCATTCAAAGACTGAACAAGCTGTTTCAGATTCTCTCCCTTCAAAACAACCCTCTCCTGATTGGCCAGCTTTTGCAAATAGAAGGTTGACTAGTAGGTGGGTGGGGCTTCTGTAATTCCAGCCACTGAGTCTGGGCCTGAGATGAGCGCATTATTAGTACCCTCTCATTGACGTCATACAGAAGCAAGAGTAGAAAAAACTGTCTCAAACTGAGTATTTTATCTCCACCACACCATTGTATCTGGTATTTGCAAAACAAAAGAACAATTCTGCTTAGACTTTATTAAGAGGCACAGCTTCACCAGAGCAATCCTGTGGCTGTATTGAGGCATCACTACAATGCTAGTGTGCCCCTGAAGACCCTCAAATATGTACATGTGATGACTTAAAAAGTTCACTAAAAGAAACATTTGCCTGGGTTACTACCCCTTCTTTCAACCCTCCCTCGGTGGATCATTCACCTGGAGGACTCCTGCTGTCTATAGATGTCGATAATGTTCTCCACCAGCAGGTTCCTCTGGAGGCCATAGACTCCATGGCGGTCCAGCACCACCTCATGGCGGCACGATGGACAGCGAAAGCGACCGCCACTGGCCGTCGCACTGGAGGAACCGCGGGAATGCCACAGAGGATTAGCTGACTGGATTTAAGAGGGGAAAAGAAACAAACTGCTTCAGACTGCTTTCTGGTGCATTTCTGTTTGGTTGCACATATGAACCCAGTATCAGTGTAGAGAGAGGAAGACTCTGCTTTGGCTTATATTAAACTTATATTAAACATTTATAGCCAGATGGCAATAAATGTGACCCACATCTGCAGTTTTCCACAGGCCACATTTGGCCTTGACAGTGCTGACTCACCCTGAGTCAGCACTGTCAGTCAAGGCCTCAGCTCAGCCACAGATCCACTTTCCATGAGCCAGATGTTAGGTGTGTTGTGACATCTGGCCATTTAACTGCAATGTTTGTGCCCCTAAATTACATTAAAATATGATCAAATCAAATCAAATCAAAATTTATCTATATAGCACATATTAAAACAACAGTGTTGACCATAGTGCTTCACAGTCAGTAAAAACATGAGACAATTAAAACAAACAATAATACAGGACAACAAACAATAGGTAACAACACAATAAGCTAGAACAGCCAACTAGTTAGAATCAAAGGCTAAAGTAAAAAGATAAGTTTTAAGACGTGATTTAAAAGACTGGAGAGACACAGCAGTACGAATATGAACAGGGAGGTTATTCCAGAGTCTGGGCGCCACGGTTGCAAAGGCCCGGTCACCTCTCGACTTCAGTCGAGACCTAGGTTATGCTAGGAGCCTGTGATTGGACGATCTAAGTGCTCTGATGGGATTGTATAAGTGGAGTAGTTCAGAGAGATAGCTGGGCGTTAAATTATTCAGAATTTTAAAAGTGAATAAAAAAAAGAATTTTAAAATCTATACGATATTTAACAGGGAGCCAATGTAGTTTGGCTAAAATTGGGGTTATGTGTTCATAGATTCTCGTACCTGATGTAAAGAAACAGCTAGAAGAAAGAAATATTTTTACATTAGAAAAAGCCTGAGTTTAGGTTGCTGTTGGTGTTGATTAATGACTAAATCTGATTTCTAAATTTCAAAAGCGTATTTAATATACAGATACTATCTGCTAACATGGAAGTGGACTAGAACAAAATAAATAGTGTCTGTTTGGGTTTTCACTCCATCACATTGTAGCGTGAATCTAAGCTCACTGCAGACTCTGAGGATGAGTGTAGATAAAGGGGAACGCCATCTAAAACCTTTAAAACTAACCCAGAAGGTCGTCTCCTGTTTTCTTTTAGTCTCACCTGGAAGATGTCATTGGCACACTTGCGGCAGAGGTTGTGCTGACAGGGCAGGATGACCACAGGTTTGGAGAACATCTCCAGGCAGACGGGGCAGATCAGCTGCTTTTCCAGATTCTCCATGGTTGCTCCGCTTCCAGCACCGGGCCCAGAGCTGCCTGCTGTCGGGTGCTTAAAGCTGAGAGCAAAGCTCATCACCTCCAGTGGTGAGGAAGATGTCAAAGACGTCAGGAAGTTCTGCCCTTCTACTCTCAAATGGCTGTAAAGTTAGTTGCTTTTAGTATTTTCCACTTAGCTGTTGCGCCATTTCTAACCCCAGTTGTCCAACACTTTATGCCACAGCCAGCTTGCCTGAAGCCCATGTAAAGACCCTCCCACACACCTCAGGCCCACAGCAGCCAGCCTGTCCCTCTGTTGGTATTTTTAGCTCCTCAGTTTGTTCTGGCTTGGGTTACTGTCTAAACTGCGTTCCTGAAAGTCTGGGAGTGGCAGGGGATCACAGCAGGGTTCGGTATCTGGGTTCAAATTATTCTATTTTTATGAAGTCTGATACTTCAGAGGGGATCCTGGTGACATAATGCAACCTGTGACAGCAAAGTTTCAGGTGATTAGCATGCTGGCATAAACAGCTTGAAGCATTACTCAACTTAGATGTCTGTTTGTTCCTGCAGAACACGCTGAGTATGCAACATCTCTGTTCATCCAACTTTCTGAGTAATCTCACCAGGAGATTAGTCAGAAAGTCGGAGTATTTGTTGTGCTGTATTTTTCCAACAAGCCTCCTTCTTATTTGGAGCAAAGCAAAGTGTGAAAATATCATTTAATCAAAGATATTTAATATCGAAACCACTAAAAACAAACAAGCAAAGCTTTGCTAAATAATGAGCTGGGTACAAGTCAACACAATAAAGCATTTTTTCCCCCCACGGCTGATTTATGTTTCTTGACGACATTCAATTCAGTAAGACCTTTTTTTTTTTTTTTTTTTTTTTTTTTTTTTTTTAAATGTACCAAAATGGTTCAAATTTTAAAAGAAATTCTAATAAAGTTAAAATTTTAGTTTGGTTCTTAACTTAATGTTCATTTTCCACTCTACTAAATATATAAATGTGAGGTGTGCAACTGAGTCTTCAAGCAGGAAGGCAGAAGAAGAAAAAAACAAAGTCTGTCAGTAACCAGATCCTAATAATAAGCTGAACAGAATCACTGGCCAAGCGTCTCTCCAAACAAACAACGGCTCACAGGACATTTAAACTCTATAAATACAGAAATATCAGTCAGAGACTAGATAACCGACTCAAGAACGCCATCTACTGTTTACCCTCAGCACCCTCAGCCTCAGGAGAAAGCATTTATTGAATATCTGTGTCAAATGTGCAAGAAAACCTCAGATTATATCACATTTATACAGGAGCTTGGACATCAAAGCAGGGACGTGACTACAACTGAGGAATTTCTTTTTAGGGCTTAAACTTAACAGACTATGACTGATTACTACTACAACTACATCATGTTATGGACCACTCAAGTCATTTTAACTAATGTGAGGGCAAAATGTGATCAGAAAAATCAAGTAATGTGTTGTGAATATTAATATTAAACACTAAAGACGTGAAGTTTATTAATGCAGTCATGTTAAAGAGCAGAGGTAAGATGACTACTGGCCTAAAATTAAGAATAGTAAAGTCTATAAATGTATGAAGCAGTCTGAATCTGTATTTATTTCACTGTATACTATCTGCACATTGAGGCGGGACATTGTGTATGTTCTTTTTGTCACTGTCTGACACTGTAACTATGAATTAACTGTTTTACAATCACTTTTGTGCTTTCATGCTCTGACCTGGTAAACTATCATTGATTACTCATGCAGAATCTAAGCCTGATCTCGTTCACAATGTGACCCAGAGACCCCTTTGTGGCCTTCAACCTGTCAGCATACAGCAGTGAGGTCTGTTCCCAGGGACAGACAAAAAATAACAAACAAAAAAAACAAAAACCCTGAAGTACTTGCTAATCAACAGAATGGAGTCGGCAGAACTAAGCTGCTAATGGGCTAACAGGACTATTAATAGTCTGGAGTGGAGGGCTGCTGCAGTGAGCCAAACATACAAACACAGGGATTAAAGCTGAAGACCTCCGTGTGACTGTTCTGTGATTACCTTCCTGTCAACAAACTTTTTATTTATTAAAAATAAATAAATAAAAATAAAACCCACCCTGCACCCTTACAAACACCAAATGCAGCTGGGCTCTCATTCATTTACCATATAACCTTTGCTTTAGTGTTTATTAACGTGATAATGGTTGTCAACACCAGCACCACCACACATGCTATTCTCTTGGTACTGTTTGCAGCCGTTTCATTCACTATTGATGGCTCTGATGACAATGAATTGCTCTTTATTATTCACTAATGGTTCAATTACTTCTTTTTTCTGTATTTTCAATTATCTCCATTTTTTTGTATTATTATTTTTGTAGTATTATTTTAAATTTACTGCATCGGGAAGAGCCTGAAAAAAACAAAAACAAAAAAAAACACCACAACAACAACAAAAGCCTAAATAAAGAGTGAAATAGACTAAAAAATAAATAAATAATAATAATTCATTTAGTTAATATTGTTATAATTTTTTTATTTTTATTTTTTTTGGTTGTTGTTTTTTTCCTCTTTTTTCTTTTTCTTTTTTTTTCTCTTTTTTTTCTTTTCATGCTTATAAGTTCACAAATGTTAAAGACAGTAATTGTTCTCGGTTGATTTGTATAAGCATGTTATGTTTAATTTAAATGCAGAAATAAAATTTAAGAAAAAAAAAAACAACAACAACAAAAGCCAACATAACTGAATAAACACAAATCGTGAAGCGACCTGCTGTGGCGACCCCTTGTGGCCAGGGAGCAAGCTGAAAGTAGCTTTATGCATCTTATTTTCTTAAGTGGTGCTAAAAAACTAAAAGTGTAACCCTTGACATAATTTACTAAGCAAGCACAAACATAAGACAAAGTTACACACTAGAAGTTATAAAATCCTGTTGTTTTATTTGGTTTCTATAATAAATTTTACATGTGGTCCACAGGGAACCACAACAGTCAGCTCTCCTATTTATCAATCCCCAGTTTCATCCAAAAATGTCTTTATCCAAATTCTTCTAAATTTGTTCACTTTCTTTTAAATTTCTTCTTCTTAAAAAAGATGAGTGCAACGTTTTTTTTTCCAACCACTCAGCTTATCCACAAAAAGAAATTAGCTCCATGCTAATTGTTTTTAGCATACGCCAGTGGTTGTAGTAACCCTTGTGGTGTCCTCGGGTCAAAAATGGTCCCTAGGTGAATAGCAAACAAGTACATGGGAATCCCGAGGACACCACACAAACAGTGCATGCTGACATGTTAGCGTCAAACATCAGCAATTCTGTTAAATCCTTTCATAAAACATGTCGCCTAATAGTAAGATTTAAAAAAAAAAAAAAAATCATTTTGCTGTTTTATGGTGTTTAAAAAACTAAACAGTATGACTTTGAGTGCTCACCATCATGCTTAAACTCTAATCATGTAGCAATAAATGAAAATGAAGTGCTCCGTTTCACTTTTGGATGTTATTATGGATTAAAAACAACTATGACATGCAGACGTCTGCAGACGGTTTCACTCAGAAACAAGCGGATATGTGAATAAAGAGAGCAGATATGAAGTGACTGATAAAAACTTATCAAAGGTGGTTTGTTTTTTCACAATATGATCGTACACGTAGCTCTGCATTCATTTATTATAACACACCGGGTAATACAGAAGAGTTTTAGAAGCCGAATTTAGATGCAACTATAGTTTTGGCCAGCACAGATACAAAAAAAGACCAACTAGCATTAGTACTCTAAACAGGACTGTAACAATCCACATGACAACAACTGAACAGCTTCCACATGATGTCAGTAAACAATGCTTGAGGTTTGAAAACGTTAAAACAATCTAAAAATAACATGGGAGTAAAATATCGTTTTTTATTTAAATTAGAGACTAAGCAGTAAAAAAAGCCAAGTATCAGTAACATCAGAAAATAAGAGGCCAAAAAAAAAGACCTTAAAAGAGCTTAGTGGGGTTTTATTTGCTCATCTTCTTTTTCCTTTCTTTTGTAGAGAGGGGCAAATAAATAAGAACAAAATAAACTTGCAGAGTAATAATATTGGTATATGATTTTAAATTCTGTTTCGAATCACAATTTCAAAATCGTTACATCCCCATTTTAAAATACATGCACTACTAAAGGAAGAGTTGAACATTTTGGGAAATGTGCATTTCGTGTTTCATCAATACCATTTTAAATCACTAACAAAATTAAGCCAGTGAAGGGCCTTAACACATCATTCATTTAGTGGCCAACAGAGGGCAGCAACTCCAGTTTCACAACTGTATAAGAATAAGAACTTTATTTATCCCGAGGGAAACTCTTTTGTCATGTACATGCTCAAAGTAATTTTCAACTGTAGGGAGCATGCTAGACAGGCTGCCATCTGAGACGGCGCCGTATAGATGTCTAAAGGAAATGGCTCTACGCTCTTTTAATCTGTGAGTTTACAGATTAAACACGTGGCCTCGATCGCTAGTTCCACATATTAATTTTGGGTCCAGTTTGTAAGTGGTGACCTCATTAACAAACCAGAGGCTGCTTTACTTTGTAATTGACAAGTTGCTAACCTATGATTGTGCAATATCATTGGTTTTTTAGTCAGACCCACCCCTCATTCATCATGCACAGTTTCAAAATCATAAAAATGGCAAAAACAGAAAAACCCCTCGGCTCAAGCCTTCATTAACACAAAGGTTGACGCTGAGGTGGTGATGTCCATCTTTTAGTTACAGTCTGATGGCAAGAAAGCATTGAAGCAAATACATTTTTAAAACAGATTCCCCAAAATGTTGAACTACTTCTTTACGAAAAAAGGTTTGTCATTTCAGAAGACGCCCAAAGCCATCTATTCATCCATCCATGGAGATGTAGCAGAATAATGCTTAACACAATGTGTTCTGTGTTTTGAGCTTTTGTTGAAGTAAATTGCTTATTTATTGGGCTTCATCTGTCTTCCATTACAGCTTTTGAGTCAAGGAAGAAAATCAGTTTCAGACAAGTCAATAAATCAGTGCAAAGTGGATGATTCATGGAAAATGCTGGCAGCTCAAACTCTCACCAAAATCACATTACATCATTAGTAATCCTCACGTCTCAACCTTAGATGGCATTAAATCTATCAAATCACCCGTAGGGAAAGCAATTAAATCATTTGCCATCTAGAAGCAATTAGCTTTGTCATGAGCAGATCCACTGACATTTTGAGCTGGACAACACAGACATTAGCATGTCAACGATAGCAGTGACTCAATAAGTTTCTGGTGTCCCAGATTAAGAGCTGAAACAATTTGCCAACTGTGCTTTTCTTTGTCTTTGCCTCCAGATTTTGGATGAAATAATCTATAATGGAAACTAGTGTTGGATATTTCTTACCATTTTCTCACATTAAACGCAAGCAAAAAGCAATAAATAAATGTTAGCTGCAGCTTTAAAGGTGCAGACACACTGAATGACCAACTGTAATTAAAGAATGTGACTGAAATCTAAAAGAGGAAAAAAACAAAACATGAAACCAAAAACAATACAGAGGAAAAGTGCGTTTGACTCAAAGAAGGTGTATAAAACTGATGAAGCCAAAAATCTCTGTAGTGTCTGTATTTATTGTGCAATTCAAGGTGTGTCAACACAAACACTGATCCAGATTCACTAAAGCATGAAGGAAGAGCGATACCAAGTGTGCACAATGAGCGAAGATGAAGAGGAGAGCCGAATGCTTCAGGTTAGATTTAATCAATCGTGCTCATGCATTGAATTACTTTAGACAAAGTATTCCTGGGTGATTCTGCAAAATAACAGACAACAGTGAGTGCATTTGGGGCTTGTATTTTTAGTCACTGCTGCAATTATTCTTGAAGGTACAGCGCTGCCAGGGTCAGGTTAGTACATAAAGGAGGACTTTCCTGCCCAGAAACTAAGAACAGATCAGTAAGGATGCAGGAATGAATGGATCAGTCCTGCAGTTAAAGGGCGAGTGCCTGAAATTTGCAGTAAAGATGGTTGATTGCTTGCTCATTACTCTTTTTAAAGGCTGCAAATAAATGTCCAAAGCATCCCCAAATAGAAAGCAATAGTGGTGCAATTAAATCAAGAGATTGCCCTGCAATCTAGTCTTAGTGAATCTGGAGCTGAGTTCATAGATCAAGTAACTTTCAGGGTTTCTGCAGTTCTGAATGTAAGAGGTACAATAAAAGAAGAAAAATGGCAACAGACCCGTCTGACACGGTGCATAGACTGAAATGCATAATATACACACAGCTTTGACAATCTGAACCGTGGCTTACAGAGCAAATGGCATTTCTAGAAACTATCGGCCTGGGCTACATGAAGCTGTCGGCTTTGGTCTACCGAATAATCTGACTGCAACACAAAAAAGAAAACAAAACAAAAAAAACCCCGCAATATATATATAAAAAAAATAAGTAAATCTAACAGAAAGTTATTTCTAGTTAAAAGACTATGGCATCTGTAATTGTCCATTTCAGTCGGCAGATTATTATTAGGGGGGTACTTTTTATTTTTTCCCCGCTGAGGGTGGCACATGAAGTCATAAGGGCTCGTGTTCATTTACAGTTTGCATGTCTGCAAGCTCAGCAATTGTCCCATGTTTGTCGTTTGAGGTGAGTTCCAGTGCTGTACAAGAAGAGGCATGCAGCCGTACAAGTTGCATGCGCGCCGGGGTGGAAGCGTCAAGTCCACTCCTGATCGAAGCTCAAAGATTAGGCTCAGACATTTATTGTTAAAGCAATGAAATGTAACAGTGTCCTGATTGAAAACTTTTTACATGGTGAAGCATCTGTTAGACTTCCTGCCGCCTCTGAAGGTTATTTTAATTTTTTATTTATTTATTTTTTTACACATCCATCGATGGGACTAGTTTGAGACATTAGAGGACGACAATGCAACATTTAACTAAATGCGATTGTTCACGAAGAAGAAGAAATGTGTAGTTCTTGTCTTGCCACTGATATGAACACACAAAGAGTGGCAATGAATTTACCACCAACGTGTATGGGTTTCTTCAGAGGGCAACTCCTAGGCAGGTTAACGAGGGAAAACAGAAAATAAGTGCTCCTGCTGGTGACAAATGGAGTCCAACATGATGGGAGGCGGTTAAGATTGTGACAGGAAAAAAAAAGGTAGTAAGTTCCAGTCCCGGTTTGGATAGCAGGTAAACAATCAAAGCCACCTCTACGTGACTTTTTTTTTTTTTCTCGGCCCTCATGTCCCCATTTTTGCAATTTTGCTGGCCAGTGTCAGACCTTTACTGGTTAGAATGGAATGACCAGAAGAGATGGACTTTAAGCCTAGCCCTGGATAACTGGACTGCTATCAAGGTAACATCCAGCCCAGGCTGGACATGTGTGAAGGTGGAAGAAGAGAGGAGACTTGTTAGAGGATGGCTTGTGGTCTTAATAGCTGGCCTGAAATTATCCTCCATGACGCTCGTAGCATCTAGTAGGTTAATCTGCGTGAATACTTCTCCGTATTTTAAGTTCCATGAAGGGAGCCGGGAGCATTTCAGTGCCCACCTGGCAGGGTTTGTTTGGTGGCTCGGGTAGGTCTGGGTGGATCAGGCCTGAACTGTGGGTTGGCTGGTGACAGCGGGCTGGTTTCTCTCTGGGTCGCTGGCAGCAGTCAGATGTGGCTGGGTCATAAGAGGGGAGCAGAAGGCTGAAGGGGGAAAAAGAGGAAGTCAAAATCAGATTAAAAATAGTTATATCAGGTTAATTACAACTTTAATCATACTTCAAGAAGCTTCTGTCTTTTATTCCAGTCTTGGCAACTGTATATCCAACCTTAGCACATACTGCTGCAGAGACAAGTAAGTGAAATTCCAACTATGAGGTTGCTTAGAATGAGCTTTTCATATTTTATTTTATCCACTGTGTATGTAGGACACATACAAACACCTTATCTAACAACGTAAACCTAACCACGCTCTGGCTATGCAAATAATGCACTGCTATTATTTGCATAGCCAATAACAGCAGTGCATAGCTTCCACCTAATCCAAAAGTGTTATCCTAACTCTAGACATTCAATTTAAATTAATTTATAGTATTGGTATCCTTGTTGTTACAGACATTTGATTCAATACTTGTGTTGGTGTGTCTGCACTGCTCTGCCAACACATGTGAAACTGAGATGTTTATGTTGGAATTGGAGCCAATAAATATTTTACTGAGGGGAAAAAAAAAAAAAAAAAGACTTCAAAAGCAAGAGAAAACTAGTATCCATCTACATTAGCAGGTCTACAGCCCACACAGTAGATTTAACACTGTACTGTAGATCAAGGAATTAAAAGTTAATATTTAATGACTGAGAATAGCCACATCAAAATGACCGTGAGAAATGAACAAAATAAGCTGTTTGTCTGCCCAACCACTAATTAAGTTACACAGACCACTTTCTCAGTATGTTCAAACCAACTGTTTATATTCCAAGTTTCACTTTTAAAATCATCATCCGTTGTATCTTACCTTCCTGCTTTTGCTAGTTGAGGCTTATCCACACCATCACTTTCCTGTAGAAGACAAAGGCACACTTTCAAAATTAAGCCAAACATTGACATACGGAGCATGAAATAAATAAGGTATAACTCTTCTGCCCTATTGTAAGGCCTCGTCTTATTCTAAGATAAAGCAAACCTCTTATTTTACCTGTAGGTTTTAGGGGAACTTACCTTTAAAAACTTTCTTATCGTACAACAGACCTGGAAATTACGTCAAGAATATCCAAATTATCTATATAACTAGTTTTATGTTTTAAACAGCAAGCTATAAATTAGCCAAAGGGAACAAAGCTACTACAAGAGGGCAAAAGGGTCATCAGTTTGTTTTCCCCCATCTTACAAATGTAATGCTGTGCAAAGTTAACGTCCACATTTCAGTGAATGTGATATAACACTCCACATCCCATCTGAATAACTTAATTTGGACCTCTCTTTTCACAGGACAAATGCTAAAAATATCCCATAATCGTATCATCTGACAACAAGCAGAAATAATGAGCACACAACAATGTTGTACAAAGTGCCACCAACACGACATCACCATGCTCACGTTATGACAGCACCTAATGTGACACGGGTAAGGAATAAGAGACATGCAGGTACAAGACGACTAGAACAACACAGTGACTGATGCAGTGAATGTGCATGACGATGGTAAGTGGACAGCAGGAGCAGTTTTTTCTTTTAAACGGATGAGTGAGTAAGCAGAAGCTGCGTGCTGCCAGCGGACATGCAACATGGAGCGTGAAGATGGGTGAGGATGGGCCAAGACGGCTTTGTTTACGTGACAACATGGATGGATGACAACGTGACACATAAAAAAAAAATAAAACAAAATAAAAAATTTTAAAAAGCAGTAGACGTGGCTCTTACAAGTCATTTTAAATCTGGTACGCTCTCCCCAGGTCTATCTTCCACTACTGGGTTGACTGAAGTTGGCGACTGGGGCTCAGGTGGCGGCATTGGCATAGGCAGGGGGATGGGCATGCTCTTTCCTTCTGGGGTTTCTGGACCCAGATTAGATGTAGGCTGGCCTATGATTACTGTGTTACCTGTTGGATTGGAGCATGAAAACACGAATCCTGAAGCATAAGAGCATGTTTAATCCACTGATGATGCAACAGAGACCTTAGAGCTGACTTTGATTTTTGTATTTATTTATTAAAGTTAGTGTTTAAACTCTAGAAAGCAAGAAGTAAAATATTTTTTTTAAAGAAAAGCTCAATTTAAAAGCAATAAATAAAGAAATAAACACCTCAGCATGTTACAGTTTATGCATTCGTTATGCTTTGAAGCTTTATCACACGTTCAGATTTTAACACAGTCGACCAAAGACACAGGTCATTCTGTAAAATGTGTACACAGAAAAGTCCCCGCTTCAGCAGGCCTGCTGAAAGAAAAGGGCTACATCATGAAGAAACAGTTTAACAGTTTTAATGAAACGAGCCAGAGCCGCAGGAGAGGCGTTTGTAGTGTGCTCTACAGCCACATCCAACAGAAATATTTGTAGAATTTACAGCATTTCTTTTTAAACAGATCTACAAATGGGCATTGCCACGTCACTTAATGTGATTAAATGCCTTTTTCCCTTCTTTTCTGAGGTCTTGATTATACTTTCTGCATCTGTGAGCCTGCTTGGGTCAGTGTGGATGTCTGTATGTTGGCCAATTTCTTGTGACCCCGCAGGACTTTAAATTACAATGCACCAACTGTGTACGTGCCCCAGATGGCAAATTTCAAGCAGACTTCAAAGAAATATACCAGCAATGACTACCCGAGTGTCTCCAGCTGGCTGGAGTCTAATCAAAGCTTGAGCTGTCAGCACTATTGGTCTCTGCACACTGTTTACTTCAGGTCTTACTCCATTTATTAACACTTCTGAATAGTTTCTGAAAAGCACATGTCACAGATTTCTTCAAGAGTGATCACAACTAAACTGGAGGGGGATGAAAAATAAAACAAACTAGACTCATCAGCAGATTAATCTGCAGAAAATAACTTGACAATTTTTTCATGTTTGTCATAATGATTCTGTGTAGAATAAATTTGTACAAGCACTGATTCCACTTTCCACATCACACGCACACAGCCTCAGGCTCACATTTACTGGATGACTTTATCAAAGTGGTTGACATTTAATAAGTGGTGGCTACAGTCTTTTGCCTCTATGACGGAAGTAAAAAAAAAATTTAAAAAATGACTTTGTTTTGTCTATTGGATGCACAAATACCAATTCAGACTTGATCACAAATGAAAAATTACAATTTAGCGCAAATCTGATTAGAAAATAAATGAAAGTCATTTATCATTTTGTTCAGCTTGAGCCGAAATGATGGAAAGAGAGATTGTAGCCAACAAATAATCACACCAGAGGAAGTAAAAGCCCACCAGCGCACACTCGTTTGTCTTGCGTGGTCTGCTTTTGGCAGCGGCTGACAGCGTCAGTTGGTTGTCACCCGTCAGCCCTCAATAACTTTGCCCATTCCCTTTGTGGCTGCCTCCTGAGGCATGCTAGTTTTCTAAATACTGCCCCCCTAACTACGCCCACAGGCCTCACACAGTGGAGGCTGTGGCCTGTGGGGGTTTGGCTGGTGAGTGGTTGTCCTTGTGAAAAAGACTTCATAGTCTAATCCACTGACCCTGCGACGTCAACCAAATCCATCATTTTTTAATGATCTTATTTGGGTTTCAACTGAACTATAATTAAACACTTGCAAGATGTTTCCAAAGGTACCAGTAACAGTGTTAAATAACCTTGGATTATGATTTTTCTTACCTCCGTCCTGATCTGCTTTGATCTGGGCCTCCAGGTCTTCGGGGTTGACGTACTGGTAGTTTTCATCGTCATCTGGAGGTTTGCACTTCCCGCAGCAGAAACAGCAGCAGCAGCAACAGCAGCAGCAAGTGAATAATGTACAGCACAGCACCAGACCCTACAGGGATTAACATGCAAACAGATTTTTAGCCATATGACACAGAGGATCTAAAAGAACTTTAATCTTAATCTCCAACAAATTATTGACAGCAAACAGTGAGGATTTCATCCAATCCTTTATAAACAGATTACAGATGTCATTTTGCACAGTCAGTGCTTCTGTCACCATATTCAAGACTCATGAATGTGTAACAATCATAATTCATCTAAGACAATCACATAAAGAAAGAAAGGAAAAAAAAACCCTCCCCAAAAATGTTTAATTTGTAATTTCCCTAAATGGATTTTAGAGGCACAGAACATCTTTTGAGCGCAGGGACTGTAAAACCACATTACGAGCCTCACAAAGCCAGCATTCACTGCAGTTATGTTCGCACTCACTGTACTGTTATCCATCCCTAAACACTGACTATGAGGCACAGATGGAAAAGGTGCATTTCTGCAGACGCAGAGGGTGACAGCTCACACCAGCAAGAAAACACCAGATCACGTTTCATATTGTACTCACGCTACAAAGATTGATCTAGCCTACTATGATCTGTAGCCATGATTAGAAAAAAGAAAAAAGAAAGAAAAAAAAAGTGCCACCAATCAGGAATCAGCCTGGTAAAGCACGGGCTGCTGGGAAATTAGTCAAGCGTGAAACTCCTTTATAAACCTGATCACTTTGCTCTAAAAAAATACCTATTAGCTCAGTTAACGGTTACAGATTATTATAAAAGCAAAAATAATCCTGTTTAACACAAACAGCAGATCAGTTTATTCTACCAGACTTCTAATACACAGACCTTGAACTGCATTAACAATATGTTGCTGTTACAATATGCACCACTAAGTACACATTAACTTATATTTTTGAAGTACACTGCACATTACCAAATAAAGGCATAAACCATTTTGTCCCAAAATGGTCAAATATATTTAGTAAATCCAGCTGAGCCACTTTCACACACGGCTGGGTTGTTGGGACAATGCTGGGAGAATCAGGTCTGCACATTTCACAGGAAGTAGCCAACTACAGATGTGTGCTGCCTTAGAAGAGCACGTATAAGTCAGGACATACATTTCTTTACTCTCACATAGGCTTAATTGGACATTGAGCCTATGTGCACCAGTGGGCTGTCAGGTTAAGGACCTTTGTATTCTGAGACAAAGCTCTTTAGGATAATTTCGAGAATGTTTGAAAACAGTTTAGAAGTCAGAGATAGCACACAAAAACACAAACACACCAACCTTAAACCACCATTTGGACATGAGAAAGTAGTACTTGACGCTCTCCTCTCCAAACTGTTCGGACACATAAAGGCCCATGGAGCCATATTCGTCGTAAATCTTCCTCTTGTTCTCATCATTTAAAATTGAGTTCGCATTGTTGATCTCCTTAAACTTCTCCGCTGCCTCTGGGTTGTCTGGGTTCTTGTCCGGGTGGTACTTCAGTGCTAGTTTTCTGTCAGGAGAGAAAGGAAAAGATCAACAAAATTATTGATCGTCTGCTCCAAATGTGCCAGAAAGAATCTGCTGCAAGTGTGAGTGAGGAAGAAATATCACATGGTTCCCTCACAGGCTCAAGCCCAGGATGTCATGGTTTAAAATTACATACACATAAAATTACAACCATATTATTTTCCACCACTTTCAACTCTAATGACCGGCTTAATCTTTTTCACATTATATTGCAGACTGTATACTGTACTCCTATCTAAAACTGATGAAAATAGCCTGACCATGGAACTAATCATAATATCCAATAGTTGTAGCCGTAACTATAACGTTAAATACCTTAGTGAAAATTATAAACGATTGTAAACTGTTATAAACTGCAAAGAAGGTGGAATGTCAACATGTCAGCTTGGGTTCTGGAAACTTTCAAACTGTTAAAAAAATAAATAAATAAAAACTCTATAATGTCACAAGTCTATCCCACACATGAAACTACATTAAAGTAAACAAGCAGCAGTATTATTTGTTTGTTCCATGAAAGTAAAATTAAAGCTTTAACTGTGATTTTGAGGCAGCTAATCAATTTGCACTTTCCCTATTTATTTCCTGAATTATAAGAATCTGAAGTGTCTGAAGAATCTTAAGTAAATGCATTACAGATATCATTTGAAATGCTTTCATGTCAGTCGTCTGCACTTTTACAGACAGAATTAACAGACAACTTGTAAAGAAATATTTCTGAACAGCACTTTAGTTATCTGGCAGCTTATGAGTAAACACTATCAGGGACACAAATAACACATTTGAACAGAGTAGTAGCAAGGAATCCACCTGCTGTTCAAACCTTCTGTTTGCAGACAAAGAAACTTGGGAGCTGTAATTTGTGAGTCATGCAAAGTAGGGCTGCCACGATTAGTCGACTAGTCACGATTACGTCAACTATCAAAATCGTCGATGACCAATTTAATAGTCAACGCGTCGTTTGAAGCTTTGTAAGATCCCAAAAGACGCAGGACTAAGTAGTAGGATTTAAGAGTGTAATAACGGACTGAAACAGAAGATGGCAGCACTGCATGTACAAGGATGCCAACCGTTAAACCCTGAAGAAGAAGCTCTGTCCCAGAATTTATAGTGCGGCCCTGCTTAGTTTCCAACAATGGCGGCAGCTAGTTAGTTTTAATTTTACTCTTATTATTCTTTCTGGGTCACAAAATAAACGTTTAACACATTTTCAGGCAAGAATGTAGCTGTGTAAACCTCAAATATCTGCTCAGTTTATCAAGACATCTCATATTTTCAAAAGCGCTTCGACGTTTTCAGAGACATCTGTTACCCACCAGCTCGATACCTAGCCTGGGTTCAAGGCTCACTAGAGCCCGTGAGAACACCGGACTCCCGGCAAATCGTTGTCAAACCCACCGCCGTCTTTCGCTGCTCAGGTTAAACGTATATGAGTCACTTAGATAACTTAAAATGTTATTGTTTGGCTTTTTTTAGTATTTTATTTGTTCCTGAGTAAATCAGTTTGGCTGAGATTCAAGTTATAGTTTTTACACAGCTGAATAAACGTCAAGCATACAACTGGTCATCAGAAGTGTGAGATGCTCGAGAATATACACCGGTGTCCTGTTATATTTTAGATATCAAGGAGTTTATTAAACTTCACAGAAACAATCTGCAAATTTCATTAAAAATTAAAAAATCATCTTGTCTTCATTTTTAGTTAGCACATACGCAAAACACTTAAAGCTGTAAGCTAATGATAGTTATATAAGAGCAGATGCATGCTGGTGCAATAAGCTGTAGGTTTTACGTCTAATGGATGCATGACCTGATTAGTCGACTAATCGCAAAAATAATCGGTGAATAGTCGATAGAGCAGGGCGATATGGCCAAAAATATTTATCACGATATATATTTGAAAATTTGCGATAACGATATAACTGACGATATAATTGATGCGAGACAAAATACAACTCCACAACATTACTAGCGCAAAATACAACCTTCCATTTATTTTCACTTAAACAAGAAGCTGGTTTTTATGTACATTAAAGCTTTATCAAAATGTAACAGTGCCAATGCAAATTCCTTGCTGAAAGTTTAACCAAAAGGCATTTCCAGTAGAAATGGGCTGACATATCCTGAGCATAACCATGTATAATATCCACTGAAGTTAAAAAGAGGTGCTTTGCAACATTAAGCTGCAGTGTGCAGTACGCATTTTTCGGACCATAAGGTGCACGGGATTATAAGGCACATTAAGCGAAACAAAGCAGTCAGATAAATCAAACTTTATTAAACTCATTCTTCTTGCTTCCGCCACTTCTGTACCATTGATTCATTAATGTTGAATTCTCTGGCAGCTGCTCTATTCCCATGTTGTTGCAGTATATTAATGACTGACCTCGTATTGTGGATGGATTATTTCAGTTGTTCTCCTGACTGAAGTTTGGTCCATTTACAGCATCCTGCCACGCGATTGCATTTGTCTCTAACCATGAAGAACCTTAACGTTAACTTTTATAAGTGGAAAAGTGTTAGTGTTCGTCCTCCAGCTTCACTGTTTATGTTATGCTAATATAGCTATGTCGCTAGCGATCACGTAGCACATCATTATATACCAACTAGCCCAACTTCAGTAACCCTACAAACATCACTGCTGTTTAGTTTCCTGTCTTCATTTATGTTGGAAGTGATAGCAGAGCTGTAAGTTTGAATTTTTTCAGAAATCTCTCAGTCAGAACATGCTATATCATGCTTAGGTAACTAGCGAAACTAGCGAGCTAACTTCCGCTAGCTTCCTGCTAACTTCTAACTCCGTTAAATGTAATAAATTCTGTTTTCATGGATGCCTGGAAGTTAAACTTCATAATTACACCTGGTAAAGCAGCAATGCTGATTGTTTTATTAAAGATGAAAGAATTTAGACAGTTTTTAACTCTCAGTGATGCTGCAGTGTTCGTTTGACCTGAAGCATACGGAGTTTAGGACCCAGATTACTCCCAGATTTAAGAGCATCTTAGTCCGACAAATACGACAATAACGACGGCCGCTTGCATGTTCTGCAAAAAAATGTGCTTTGTCGTGTATCAGACGGACAAACACCAAACCAGTTCCACATCACTGAAGTTGCACCATTTTTACAAACCAATTCTGGTTCATCTGTTTCACTCAACAATCGGCCATGTGCGTATGAAAACAAAGGCACTGCGCATGCGCGTTTTACTCATATTCTATCGCGATATTTCATTTTCCTATCGTTGCCTAACATTATACCGGTATTACCGTGAACGGTATAATATGGCCCAGCCCTACTAGTCGACTATCAAAATAATCGTTTGTGGCAGCCCTAATGCAAAGCCACTCTAACGGTCCAAAATTAAGAATATGGGCAAAACAACAAAAAGAACTTTAATAAAGAGAAGTAACTAAAGTCCAGCTTACCTGTACGCTTTCTTGATTTCCTCTGCAGACGCTCCTTTCTCCAGACCTAGCACCTTGTACACACTCTCCCCAGAGGTGGACATCTTCCTTTGGGGGCGGGAGGAGTTTGGTTCAGCCATGGCTCACCTCTGTAATTAAAAGAGATCAAACTTATTAGGAGGCGCTGGTACATAAAAAGCTCAGAATTCAAATGATTTATTTAAAGAATCTAAATACTCAGGCCAGTGTTAATTACCAAAGTAGTGCAGAAGGTGAGGTTCACCAAGGCAGAGGTGGTGTAAATAAAGAAGAAGTAAAGAAAAATATACTGTTTTTCACTTTTCACTACAATAGGGAGACATAAATCAGCTGTTTAATATACCAAAGAAAATAAGGACACACCAGACAAAATAAATAGTGCTACAAAAAAAACAAAAAACAAAACATAATCATAACACCCTCGGTTTGACTTACTTCCTGGTTCCTTGTCTGCCTCTCTACTGTTGTTCAGCATACCTCAAGTTTACGTCTGACCTTTATTGTTTCGGTTCACTACAGTGCTTACTTCAAATGCAATTTTCTCCAACAGTGAACAAATAACAGCTTTAAAAACCCAATGTAGACTAAAAAGACAAACTGACGTAGTTGGCCAAGCTCTGGTGAACATACTGGAACATCTACCAGCTAAAGAGCCACATATTTACTTAAAGACTAAGTAAAATAGGGAATATAGTGTATGCTTTCTAATAACAAGCAACGGTGACTGCACAAGTTGCAGATGTACAGTTGCATGTTACACAGGATCTGTGTAGCATTAGATTGTCTCAGTTGCTTTCGATTGACCAGTTCTCCCATTTCTCAGCCTGTCCTCATGTCTTCTAGTTTCAATAAGCTAAGATCACAATAGTAAAAAGCTCAGTGCTGCATTTCACATGCCAACGTGGCACATCACGATGGCCGTCTCCAAAAACACCCTTCATTAACCACCAATGATGACGTTGCTGTAACACTGCTAGATTTGAAAATAACTTTCTGCAACAAGCTTCACAAATCAGCTTAAACTTGACAGTAATTAGTTCTATTGCACCTTCTGGGCAAATCCTGTCTTTTTAAGACAGCTTTTGTTGTGCACATCTTCGAGGCAAATGCAGTTATTTTTGTCCTCTCCGCCTCCTTCAGTGAAAATGCAGAGAAATGTTTAGAGAAAAGGGTATAACATGATACTAGCAACCCTGAGTATGCAAGCCACTGAGAAGAGAGTAGGAGAAGCCTCCTTTATGGAGGCAATGAATCACACAAGTATTTAGAAGCAGAGAGTTAGTGTTTCACAATTACTCCATACAAAATGGATTTCTGATGAACTACGATTACTGTACGCGTACACAAATACACTCACATTGAGTCATACTGAGCCACACGAATAATGCCACCCAGGTCATTGACTAAAGAAGATTACATTTTGCTGATCTCACAGATTACCCGTCCAAGTCCATGTCAGACAGGGCCAACGTTCTGGTCAGAGGCCAGCAAGACAACTGCACAGATATGTGCAACAAACCAATCGACTGTCATAAGCATTTAACTGTAACCCTTGTAATTCTACATCCTGAATCCAAGGAATCCTTGACAGTAAATAATTAACACAAAAATGAAACACAACTAAGAGATGTATTCACACAGGATTAATTTTTCCATCTGGCACACTTTGCCTTTGGGATTTTTATTCTACTCATTACAGACGAAGCAGATTTGCAAAAGGATTAAATTTAGATGAATATGTAACAGTTACTAATTAGAGAGATCACAGCTAACACTACAGATTTGTGAATGGGGCTTTTGTTATGTCATCTAACCATTACAAAGTTCTGTGCCATTAATATATGAACTCAGATATTAACTTTATCAATATTGTACCATTCTGAGTAATGTCTGTAAGAATTAACTAGTTCCCCTCATTTAATTGTGCAAACTGAAACATGTTTTTGAAGTGATTATAATTAAGCGGGATCTACTATGCTTATTTCTTGCTCCATATCTAATTTTTGTTTTAGTCCTGGACTAGAGTAGCTTTGCATTAGGGCTGGGCCATATTATACCGTTCACGGTAATACCGGTATAATGTTAGGCAACGATAGGAAAATTAATTATCGCGATAGAATATGAGTAAAACGCGCATGCGCAGTGCCTTTGTTTTCATACGCACATGGCCGATTGTTGAGTGAAACAGATGAACCAGAATTGGTTTGTAAAAATGGTGCAACTTCAGTGATGTGGAACTGGTTTGGTGTTTGTCCGTCTGATACACGACAAAGCACATTTTTTTGCAGAACATGCAAGCGGCCGTCGTTATTGTCGTATTTGTCGGACTAAGATGCTCTTAAATCTGGGAGTAATCTGGGTCCTAAACTTCGTCTTTTTCAGGTCAAACAAACACTGCAGCATCACTGGGAGTTAAAACTGTCTAAATTCTTTCATCTTTAATGAAACGATCAGCATTGCTGCTTTACCAGGTGTAACTATGAAGTTTAACTTCCAGGCATCCATGAAAACAAAATTTACTACATTTAACGGAGTTAGAAGTTAGCAGGAAGCTAGCGGAAGTTAGCTCGCTAGTTTCGCTAGTTACCTAAGCATGATATTGCATGTTCTGACAGAGATTTCTGAAAAAATTCAAACGTACAGCTCTGCTATCACGTCCAACATAAATGAAGACAGGAAACTAAACAGCAGTGATGTTTGTAAAGTTACTGAAGTTGGGCTAGCTGGTATATAATGATGTGCTACGTGATCGCTAGCGACACAGCTATGTTAGCATAACATAAACAGTGAAGCTGGAGGATGAACACTAACACTTTTCCACTTATAAAAGTTAACGTTAAAGTTCCTGATAGTTAGAGACAAATGCAATCGCATGGCAGGATGCTGTAAATGGACCAAACTTCAGTCAGGAGAACAACTGAGATAATCCATCCACAATACGAGGTCAGTCATTAATATACTGCAACAACATGGAAATAGAGCAGAATTCATTCATTAATGAATCAATGGTACAGAAGTGGAGGAAGCAAGAAGAAAGAGTTTAATAAAGTTTGATTTATCTGACTGCTTTGTTTCGCTTAATGTGCCTTATAATCCCATGTACCTTATGGTCCGAAAAATACGTACTGCACATTGCAGTTTAATGTTGCAAAGCACCTCTTTTTAACTTCAGTGGATATTATACATGGTTATGCTCAGGATATGTCAGGCCCATTTCTACTGGAAATGCCTTTTGGTTAAACTTTCAGCAAGGAATTTGCATTTGCACTGTTAATTTTTTATAAAGCTTTAATGTACATAAAAACCAGCTTCTTGTTTAAGTGAAAATAAATGGAAGGATGTCTTTTTGCGCTAGTAATGTTGTGGAGTTGTATTTTGTCTCGCATCAATTATATCGTCAGTTATATCGTTATCGCAAATTTTCAAATACCGTAATTGTCGGGCTATAAGCCGCTACTTTTTGCACCAGCTTTGAACCCTGCGGCTTTTAGTCAGGTGTGGCTTTTCTATGGATTGTCCATGATTTTTGTGATATCGTAAGACGATTTGTTTTGTTTGTTCCGGTGTTGTACGGCACTACGTTGCCTGGCGGAAGGGCATGTCATCAGACACACAGTATCGGGTTCAAGAGTGGTATGTTGGTCACATGTCCATCCGCCAGGCAACATAGTGCCGTACAAGTAGCGCGAAAAACAAACTTCAAAGTAGCGCTACACGTTCAGCGGGAGTCGTGGATGATGTGCGGCGATAAACGTGCGAAAAGCAAGTTATGCTCAACTCCACCGGTGGAATCTGACAGCGTGGAAAAGTGTGAAAACATCCATGATCACCAACGGATTTCGAAGGGCTGGACTGCTGCATGATGGAGAGGAGGACACCGCCACGGCCCTTCAGAGGGTGTTTGACTCTGACACTGACAACAAAGGAAAGAAGCTGAGAGTGGATAACGTAGCCATCCTGAGCCTGTTCGTATCCGACACTGGAGAAGAGGACTTTGGTGGTTTTAGTGCGCAGGAAGATGGTGGTGAATGACTGACTTTTCTTCTTGTTAAAGCCATGTCACTGCACCTGAGCCTAAAAGGTAGTCCAATCTATTTTTCTGGTGTGCCCTAGGTTATTGTTATGTACTACATTTGTTACTCATTTATGAAGCACAGTACATGTTTCCTACTTGTAATTACCGCTACTTGTACATATACCTAAAAAGTTATGCAAATATGTACCCATAACTTGTTTTTCAAAATATTAATAAAAGGGATGTGTCTCCAAACAGCCATCTCTTTCCTGACAATTCGCTTTGTGCATATTCTCTTACATATGATAAGTCAATATTGAAACACCTGCGGCTTTTAGTCAGGTGCGGCTAATGTATGTACAAAACAGGATTTTCCCCTGATTTTAGCTTGTGCGGCTAATATTCAGGTGCGCTTTGTAGTCCGGGAAATACGGTATATATCGTGATAAATATTTTTGGCCATATCGCCCTGCTCTACTTTGCATGAATCAAAGATTAAAGTTATCCTTATTTATGTTATACTGGGCTTTGGTCCAGCCCCTTAATTCACTGGTCTGAAAAACAAAACAAAGCTAATGAAATGGTCAGACATAACAGAGCTGCATATCAGATAAGCAAACATTGACTCTCTGCCTTTAACATATACAGGAACCCTGGAATATATTCACACGTTGAACCTGAACTGCACTTAAACCTCATTTTGTGCCATTTAATGGCAAGAAAATGTTTAACTGCAAGAAAAACATCTTGTGTTTCTGTGGGTGTCCTTCAAAGAAAAGCCTTTTCTTCTTTTATCAAATCTACAGTTTAATGTTAATTTTGCATTTAACAAGAGGGAAAAAGATCAAATTCAATTCAAACTCTAGCTCAAAACCAGTGAGCGAAAACAACTTTGTTGATATTGCGTTCTCATCCAGATAGTTAAGAGCGCCCTGATGTGAGAACAAAATAATTGGCTTCACACTGCTCATGTGGATTTGCAATTTTAACAGATGGCACTTAAAGGTAGCATATTTTATTCACTTGGTTCCCGATTCAGTCAGATCAACAGATTTAGGTCACTTTAGAGTTTATATAAACACAGAGCAGACAAAA